CCTGCAATACATTGTGTAGCACCTGACAGCCTTTGCCACGAAAGAACGATCAGACATTCGAAACAACAATACCTCGATGTTTTCAGCAGCAAATGCCATTAACACTCACTATTCATTCCTCAACCATCCTTGTGTCGGCCACACACATCGCGAACCCGACGCCCATGGCAACCGATGGAATTGTCGGCAAAAACTTCCTAAAATGCTGCAAACCGTCATGACGATTCATTAATTCATTACCAAGACAAGTTAAGAAATCGAAGTCCCACCATAAAACAAAACACCAAAGTTGAAATACTAAATCCAAAATGTACATGATAACCCAGACAGCTTAACTTTTATCGAAAAAGAGGTTCTTAAGAGACCATTACGAACTGCGACACCTTCATATCTTTCATTTCCAAAGATCAAGTGGCGGCGCGTTCGCCTCTGTTCGCGTTCGCCTGGTTGGTGATGCGGGTCGCAGAAATCACCCCCCCCCCCCCTCCCCCCGCTGTTATACTACAGCGGGGGGTGTTTGGCAGTGAAGACTACCAACGTGGGTGCCTACGCTCTCCATGAGGAACGCTTCGCCTCGCGCATGGTGTGCTTCGCAAGTGCTCTGGTCCATTTGAATGCGGTACGATTTACTGTCGTGGCTGGATGGATAAAATGTTAAACGCTCGTTTTCAGCCTAGGGTGGCTTCCTGACATGCATCCGACAACCAATGGACTGAAATTCTGCGCGTCTTAGATAACGGGCCTCGCAATTCGGTTAAATCGACATCAGGAAAACAACGATTCCGAGCTAGTGACATTTTAAGTACGCTCTGTGCGGTGCATGATTCTTATTTTAGGGATGACAGCCATTATCGACAATGACATGATGATGATGACAACCATTCTTGATTTTACGGATGACAACCATTGCCTACGCATCTCCGCACCTTGTCACTCGCGTCTTTTGAAGGGAATGTTTCATATTTGGAAATATTGGAGCAAGCATCACATATGATAAAAAGTTCATTTATAACTATTGGTATACTTTTCTGTGGAAATAACTGCTCTAGATAGCACAATTTCTCTGTTTAGTAAATATCTTCCTCAATGCGTCATTGTTTGACTACGTCATCACACCCTGCACATGATAGATTGAGGGCCAGTTGACGGTCTTTACATCTAGAAATCGTGCTCAGGAACGTCATATAAGAACAACCTGACAGTTTTGTTTTTTCTTCGCCTTGATCACCGCAAGGGTAATAGAATGGCATGCTTCTGTGACGTTAATATGCCGTCATGGATGTCCGGGGCGGCCTTGAAATAGTCTCCCGAAATACTCTGCACTCTTCGCTGGCGTGTAGCCCAGAAACAAGAGAGGTTTAGGTCTTCAGAAGTGTAGGGCTGTGAACTGCACCAAATGATCTTGAATACGTCCATTTCAGCTCAAAACGCCACACAAATGTAGAAATATATCTTAAGGATATCAAATCCTGGCAGAGTCGTGTGCCACTCATAGCGCATCGTTTTGCAGCGACGAGTTTCTGGACGGGCTCTATAGTATATCCGATAGTACATCTCTGTGTATGTATTAGTCTTTTATGGTGCGTGCGTCGTGCATATAACACATAGTCAAATAACCATGGTTTATAACACATTCAGCTACTGCGAGTCGTACCCTTACTCTGAATGCAAGAAGACAACAAAAGGTCATACCGATGGATAGAGGTGATCGTGATGGGTCATGACCCAGTTTGAATGTTTCACTTTCGATCTGACCTTGGCTTCCACCCCATGCATCAGGAGTAACTGTAGAAATGGTTACCTTGCCATCAAATATTCCCATAAGGCGGTATCACACAACCCTCCAAGCTGTCAAGATATAACTTTGAAACTTGACTTATACTCAAGATGGCGGCGGTGGTCATCTTGAATTCTAAGGAACTGTGCACAGTTGCGTCAGTAGTAGCCGGGCTAATTCGGACCTCATGGCTATATAAAACTATTTAAATGGGAAATTTATGTCAAAGGGTCGTGATTCTTGTCATTGCAACGCCTCATGTAAAAAGCATAAGGATGGCAACTCGACTGTGCTTACCCAGCCAAGTGAAAGGCGTATTCTATAGGCGTCATGTATGTAGCACATGTTTATATAATCATGGTATATAACATGCGCTTTCTGTAAGTGGTACCATCACAATAAGCACGAAGCAACAATGATCGGCATATATCGATCAACATAGGTAATTTTTGTTAGTTGTGATCATCTTTGACCTTTGACCCTAAATTTGCCCCTGCATTTGACACCGTATGTGAAAAATAACTGGAGAAATGGGCCCCCCTCCATAGAAGACGCATCGTGAATGGTGTCGAATCTGGTTGCAAATAAAGCCACGTGGTTAACTCACCGGGTCAACAGTTATTGCCGTACATCGCTATCGATCGGGCCGTGTTAACCCGCGTCAGATTTAAGGTCGGCGCAATGAATATGTGCTATGCAGCTGGTTCACGTCTGCCCAAGATCTGGCATCAGTAGTCTTAAAAACGTCCAAAAACCGATGGGACACTGGTTTGGATGGATGGTCACAGGCTGCTGATGTGGTCTAAGAATGCCGCTACATCTTTATGGTATTGCCAGAGGACGAATGTGTCGTCGAAGTGGCTTTAGCTGCAGCCACACTCCGCGTGTCACTTTCTAAGATCGGTTGGAGGCTGAGCCAATAACGTTGACCATATCTGCCCCCAAAAACCTAGGTTCTCTGATTTCGGTCGCCCGGATTTCCCGAAAAAACGGATTACGTTCACTTCTATTTGCGTCCATGATATCAAAATCTAATTTGAAAACAATACTTGCTTGTTACCGAATGTTTTGATGCTGATGAATGGTCTCCCATTTGAAGGCAGGGTGATCGTGACAATGATGATATAGATAGTGATGCGTTTAGGCACCTAGTGTACCAGCAGTTCAGGCACTTGTTTCATTCCAATAACCTCCATTTTTTTACTCATGTACACTAGAGGAGAGAGCGGGGGCCCAGGTCCACCCGGAAATATAGAAAGTGGTACATTTGGCCACACTGACCACCACATGAGAAGGCAACGCTAAATCAAGCACTGCAGCACTGAAGGGTTCAAATTTCCGTGCGTTTGACTACGGCAGCCGCCGAGCTGTGACGCTCCTCTTTTAGATACGTTGCGTCCACACGCAACACCTCGCGTTGAAAGTGTGCAGAGATGTGTTGGCAGCGAGTGAGTGACTTTTGATGTGCCAGTGACATCCCTGCGCCTTCTATTCACTGCCCCCGCGCCGCTGTTCTTACCTGTTGATGTCAGTGATTGCTCCATGACGGGTCCAAGCGCGGTGAACCGGCATTCTACTAGTTCTGTGATGGTCGTGATAGTCATGCTCGTGGGCGGGGGCCCAACTGATTTTGGAGATCGTGTCATCAACGTGCTGATGAAAGTGCCAGTCAGCAAATATCGACAGGCCAAGGCGTTTGCGACTTGTAACTGAAGGGTTTCGTTGGCCATCAATGGGCAGCTGCGATGGGTTGTTTCTGTTGGTGAATGCTAAAGCCAGTTTTTACCGAACTCTTGTTTGCTGCATGTGTCGTGTTGGAGTGAGGCTTGAATGACCTCCGGGTCGCGTGAGTGCTGTGTATAGTGTGATATCGTCGGCAAAGAACAATACGCTGTCAGTACTGTCGGCTAGGTTGTTACATATACACACACACACACACATATATATATATATATATATATATATATATATATATATATATATATATATCCCTCAAGAAGAGGTCACAGGACCGACCCCTCCGGGCATCCAGCATGTTTTATCCCAGGGGTCTTTAAACTGTTGTACTATATTGCCTGCTTGCAGTCTGAAGGATATGATCCTAGGCAATTTAAAAAAGTTCCTGACAAGCCACAGTAGTTCTTGCACTTGAGTAGAAGACCCTTATGCTATTATCTGCCTAAGTGTTGGCTGGTATTTAGAGAGGGTTTTCCACATTTGGATGGGGTTTTGAAATGAAATAATCACCTTGAAGATCATTCAGTGCAGTTCACAGCCCTGTCCTTAAAACCCACGCGCTTTTAGTTTCTGAGAAACACATCCGCGACGATGTTCCGGCCATTTCGGGGAGACTATTTCAATGTCACCTAGGCATCGATGACGTCATAATAGCGTCATTCAATCCCTACCATTCCGTCGGCCGCGCGGCAATCAGGGCCAAGAAACATAATTGTCTGATCGGTCATATCTGGTGTTCGTGAACATGATTTCCAGATAAAGCGACCGTCAATTGGCTCTCAATGTTGTGTAAGGTACGATCAGGTAATCAAACAATGCCATATTGGGGAGCATATGTACTAAACAGAGAAGTTGTGTACTCTAGAGCAGCCTTTCGACTTAATACTACACACCAACAGTTAAAAAGTGCTCATTTCATCAGATCTGATGCTTCCTTCAATATCTTCGAATGCAGAACGTTCCCCTTAGTATTCGACCCCCGGTCACGTATGGTCCCGTCTGGAGCCACCCAGTTCGGTCCAGTCCGACCCACCTGTCTCGACGCAGCCGCAGCATGAACTACCACACACCAGACCCCAAATCCTGTTGACTTCCGTTTAAATCAGCTCGACTTATGTTGTCTTTAGATATCCGAATTCATTTTTACACATGTTGGTGTTCTGTCTTTCGACGTATTTCTTCTCTTATCCCTGTCGGCTTTTCTTTTCACTTTCTCCTACTCAAATTGATCCCATTCCTCTTTCCAGCGTATTTCTGAGTAAGTTGTCACTATTCACTGGCCAGCACCCGCTCCTCCTCCCGCCTACCCCAACCCATCTTGTGAATTTTCGCCCCTGGTTTGGTACCGTGTGCCCCGCCCAGCGACTAACATCAAAATGTGCTGAAACATCACGAATGGTAACTGTAGATAGGCGGCCTTAAATAGTGGTCGGATCCAGGCACCCTGAACCGTACACATGAAAACCACACCCAGTGCATAGCATCATGTATTACTAAAAGCCAGCACAGCTAGAGAAAGCCCAGGTCACGATGGCGCTAACGTGCACAACTCTGCGCACGTCGCAGATGTGGATATCGCGGAATCGAAATTGTTCTTCCGATGTTTTTCTACTATACCGTGATGCTATGAGTACAAATTCAGATCCGAAAAAAAAACAACATAAATTTCCACGGCATTGCGGGAAACAAGCGAACTTTATGTTTTTGTAATGGAGCGCTTCATACATCTCTTGGAAAAGGGAGCAATCTCTGAGAAGGCAATTACATCAATATATACCTCACTATGCAAAATGCATTGCATTTGGACAGACACCTTTCGCACTAAGGGCACCGGACGTGGAACAATGGGTGTCATCCACATCCACTTCATTTCAATGCCCTGCATATTTGAGTCAAGTGACAACTCGCACAATCAGAAGTGCCGCCGCGTACACTAATATCACACTTTTGAGGTGGACCCCGGACGGCCAGATGGAGATGAAGCACGGTGGCTACAAGCACGCCAACACGAAATGAGCGCGATCATATACCGGCAAAATGCCTACACAAATCTGCACAGGAAGCCTAACTGTTATAAACACATCAGTTTTTTACCACATACTCCAACACATCAGATGGCAGCACTCTTCTTTCAAAACTTCATTTTGTTCAGTTTCAGAATTTTCCCAAGGCGTTGCTTTACAGTTGCCATGCCCTTCTTGGGTTTCGGCCCTGCAAAGCGGACGACGCGGTCACACATTGCCACTTCACAGCACGACGACGCTCTGGATACGGCATGATCCACTCACCGTCGCGCCTACAGCATCGCGCCCGTCGCTCCAGAGCAGCAGCTCGCGTACCGCTGTGGCGTGCATCTGCTACAAAAATCCCACTACAAGCATATCACGACACTGTTTTATAATGCGTATGTTGACCGGTCACATGAAATGGGCAATAAGTCCGATATTAAAGCAGGGAATAGCAATCGAAGGGCATCCAGATCCCAGCAAGACTCTACGCGGACTTCCCATGACGCCGCCTCCACAGGGCCAGAGATGGACCAAGTCGGCCGCCGCCACGCCGTGGCCCCGCACGGCTGCCGTGGCCAGTGTACTCACGTTTGGCAGCTTCGCTGGCCGCCGCCGGGGCGAGCGTGGCGCTGGAGGTGCTCGGCTGCGGCTCGGGCAGACGCCGGCGCGGCTGAGACTTCTTCAGCGCCTGCCGGCCACACGGGTCCGCGTGAGCTGCTCGGCCGCCACACGTCAGCGAGGTCGCCCCGGGGAGCCCAGTTCGCCCCCTCACAGCGACGCACCATCCACACTCGACATCACGTCCAGATACGCATCCGCACATCCAGGTTCTGTACTCTAGAGTCATATCATTCAAGCTCTCATAGTAGTTCCGCAACACTGGCGCACCACGACAACCCCTCACCCCCAAGCACGAGTGACACCGCACACGGCCGGCTCACTACCAGCAGACGTACCGCGAGGGTGCGCGCGGGCGCCAGCACGCCGCGCGCGCCCGTCTGCGCCAGCGCCCGGTCCAGCGGCTGTCGGCGCACGCCCTGGCGGGAAGGCCGCGCGCCGCGCGCCGAGCCCACCGGCACGCGCGCCTTCGGGTTCCAGGCCTCGTCGGCGCCGCGGCGCCGGCCGCGCGGCTTGAACACGTGCTCGTCATCTGAAGTGTCGAGGGAGGGGTACACTGCCGGGCAGAGGGAGCAGCCCGGTCAGGCGACGGCCCCACCGCCCGGGCACAATAGACTGCTGTGCGGTGTGCGGCAGCAAATACAGCCAAAACGACAAGTACCTCAGATTAGGATGAATAAGGGGAGTAATCTTGGTACATGACAGTACTTTTTCATTCGGCCTATAACTTGATAATATTGCGTCTTAATAACGCAAAAATTTCAGCTGTAGCTAATTCAGTGCAATAAAAGACATGTTTTTAAAAGTCAAGAACCCGTGACTACGGCTTCCGGTTACTATAGAACAGTATGATACAACAGACTTGAGGGCACCAGCCCGTTGGGATCTTCGCCACCCAGGCATGCACTTGGCACTCCCATGTAGATAACGCCTGCCCACACCCGCCGTCGTTCGCTACGCACCGAACTCGTCGTCCTGCGCTGTGCCGTACGCCTCATCGTCAGAGGAGTAGGAGCGCGCGCGGCGCTTGGACGCGGCCGGCCGCGCGCCGCCGCTGGCGGTGACGGGCGGCGGCGCCACCACGGCGCGACTCATGGACAGCATGCCGACGATGGCGTCGCGCGTGGCCGGCGACGCCTGGCCGGCCGGCAGCGCCTGCTCCGAGCCGTCGGCCACGCTCGAGGCGCGCAGCAGCTCATCGATGCCGTTCGCCACCGGCGCCGGGTCCGGCCGGCCGTCGACTGCAATGGCGACGGCCGGAGTGAGCGGCGAGCTCGGAGATTTTTCACAGCTAATCTGCACCCACTGCCGCGGCAAACCAACAGTGAGACCCTCAGCACACGACCACGCGCGTATTACGGCTCCCGCCTGCAGCTCCCACCTACGGCTCCCGCATACGGCCCCCGCCTACGGCGCCAGCGGGGTGGCACACGTGATATGGGGGGGGGGGGGGTGGTATACGGAAGAGACATGAAGAACGGCACGTCTACTCACTGGAGAGGCGCAGCTTGAGCGGGTTGTCCATGGAGACGGAGCGGATGCGGCCGTAGCGGCGCGCCGAGTCGTCGATCGTCAGCGGCCGCTCGTCGGCGTCGTCGTCGGCCGGCGGCGCCAACGGTTGCACGCGCGGCCCCAGCCGGATCTTGAGACCGGCGGGCGCGGCCCGGGCGGCGGCCGACCGGTCGGGCGCCGGCGCCGGCGTCGGCGCGGGCCGCGGCACGGTCAGCCGCAGCGCCGGCTCGGCGCGCCGCTCCGGCTCGGCCGCGGCCGCCTCCTGCAGCAGCGTCTCGAACTCGGAGCGCTCTGAGATGTCGATGAAGTCGTCGTCGAGCGGCCGCTTCTTGACCTGGCGGCGCGACTGGCGCTCGGGCCGCGGCGGCGCCGGCTGCGGCGTCTGCGCGCTGTACTTCTCGGCGTGGCGCAGCTCCTTGTTCAGCTGCTTGATCAGCTTGCTGGCGTTGATGGTGACCGGAACGGGCTCGACACCGCGCCGCGCCGACTGCCGGCCACGCAGTCGCTGTCAGTGGTGAACAGAGCTGCTGCTCGCACTTCCGACCCGCAATGCAGTAGCGCACGCATCGAGAAACGGCGACAATGCTGCTTACTGTTTAGCTCGTGCAACGTACCATTTGAAGCAATTGCAGCATTTTTCGTACCATTTTGCACTAAGACTAGCACACTTCCCCGCCGTTCCGCCTAGGTGAAGTGCTTAACGGGCTACCATGAGGCAAGCTGTCATCATTCAACCAACGGCGAGCAGTGGTGGTAACTTGGCCCAAACGCATGAAGCCAAGCGCTATTCCAGTGTCGACACACTCCCGATATCCGCCTCAGCGCCAATCCAACTCACAACCAGGACCTCAATTATCCCAAGCGCTGCACAATTCACCGCACGGCCCGGCGACCCGCGGCCGCCAGCGACCGCGACCCTTCCTGAGTCAGTGCCAGCTCCAGCTGTCTGCTCACCGAGGCGTCGTGCGCCCACGAGCGCAGGGCGGAGGCGAGCGCGCGCGCCGCCTGCACCAGGTGGGCCGGGCAGCGCTGGTTAGCGTCGCCGTAGTCGCGCATCTCCTCAACCAGTCGCCGGCTGCCCAGCCAGTGGCACGTCTCGAACGACGGGAAGCGGAACTTGAGCGGTGTGCGCGACTTCTTCTCCAGCTCGTACACCCTGCCGCCGGCGCCGTCCAGACGTGAGCGCGGCGACGGCCGAGCAGGTGTGGACACATCAAATGGGCTATCGGAGAGTGCTCCACGCAGGGAGGACGACGAGAGCGTGGTTACAATACACGTGTCCGAGGAGCCATCATACGTGTCGGAGTGTCGCACAGACGTGCCTCATGCTGGCGTCGATCGACTATGGAGCGTTAGCACTGCACAGAGGCGCCACCTGACGGGCTGTGCTTGGAGCTAGACTCAGACCGCCCTTGCACGCACCTGATCTGTAGCGGAACGTTCAGGCTGCAGAGAAAGTTGCCGCCGAACACGAGCGAGTCCTGCGGCGTGTACACGGCGTGGATCCAGCCGGACGGGATGAGCAGCGTCTGGCCGGACCTCAGTGACAGCCGGTGACAGGCGTCCACCTGGCCAGCACACACAGGTCAGCTGATATCACCACAGCCCCATAGCCCGACACGTGTCCGAGGCCACAGTGACAGCCAGTGGCAGGCGTCCACCTGGCCAGTGCACACAGGTCAGCTGATATCACCGCAGCTCCGTGGCCCGACACGTGTCCGAGGCCACAGTGACAGCCAGTGGCAGGCGTCCACCTGGCCAGTGCACACAGGTCAGCTGACATCACTGCAGCTTCACGAGCGGACACATGCCCGGGTTTGGGCGCTCAACACACCCGCCCACACACACGCACAGGTAGGAGGGACGGACCACAGTTCACGTACAGCTTCATCAGACCGCGCGTCCCTCTCGGACTGCGCGCCTTCTGCCGCGGAGGACCTGGATGCCACTGGCACGGGCGGGGCCGCAGTTGTGGTGCCATGATCCCCCAACAGGGATATCATCACGTTGACTGTCTCCTCTGTCCATGTCTATAAAGGCGTGCACGCCATTCAGTGCCAAAGCCTCTCCGCTACCAACGCTCAACACAGGCTGCTGGTTCCGCTGCACCACAGTCTCTCGGTAAAATTTTGCTGTGTGACTCTCTCTAAACCTACGTTGAGCCTCGTGGAACGAGAGTCCACCCTTGACCTTCAGGGTCCTAATTTCTTTCCCGGCAATGAACGCCGAACACTTTCGGACAGACGCCATGTATGCCTCCTCGCAGCTGGCACGTTTTGGGTATTCAGACGCACAGTTCTGTATTTGGTGTCCTACGCCAGCGTACTTTCTGCATTTGGGTGCCTTCCAACACTTGTTCGTGAGATGTCCAGATAAATGGCATTCATAACACCTGACAAGGTCGGGGATATACTGTCGACCCGGAACAGACTGGTGACCGACCGTGGTTATCTCGGGTCGGACGGTGCGGTGACATGTCAGGATGACAGCATCCGTGTCCGTGACACTGTCTATCTCTCGACGGAGGGTGTGTCTCTCCGATACAACGCCATGCTTCGGCAGCTCCTCCACTTCACCACCCGTCGACATACCAAAATACCTCTTTTCGGGTACCAAATGTGGCGATGTTCACATTGGAAGTAGTTTATCCTCAATGGTATCAGTATTTCTTCCTCGTCAAGTTTGGCTGAACGAACAATCAAGAATAACGTCAGCGGTTCAGTCATATCAGCGCAGCTGATGTTTGGGTCGGCGATTGTGTGTTGGTTTGCTATGAGCTTGTTTTATGATTCGGTGCGCTGACTTCCCGCCGATCATGGAGCCCAACAGGGGGACGGGCCGCTTCAATGAGAGGCACCGCCAGAGATACCAGCGCGCTATAAGCAGGCCTATGCACCGAGAGTTGCTGCGAGAGCCGCCGGTCAAGAGTTCGCGGGGCTAGAGCCCCGGCTCACAGAGGCCAACCAGACACCCTGGCCGCGAGCCAGGACACGGCCCAACCAAGGCAGAAGAGGCAAGATCAGCACTCGGCGGCTCCCCCTCAACGCTCGTCACACCACCTGCGTGACTACTAATCAGGACTGGCGCCGGGCTAACCGATTTACTTGTGATATGCTGACTGCCAAGAGTAGCCCGCAAGGCAGCCCCCTAAACACCCTGGTTAACCGCTATCGCACCTGTGGCGACGACTCAGCACGGCAGCCCGAATCAAGCTTAAAAACTGGGGCACAGGTGTTGCGAATTCCCTGCGCTGACCGAGGCCGGTGCGAGAGGCAATTTTGGTCGGCCTCCTGTCATTCGGCCCCGAAGGGAGCTTTACAAGCCTCCCTAACCCCCCGCAGGGCCACTGGAACATTTACCCCCACCACCACCACAACCACCACTATCACCACGGAAAGGTGGTGCCTCACGGTGTGGGGGGGGGGGAGGGGGCAGGCACATGCGCCATCTGGCAATAGAACTACACACGCACACGCACACGCGCACGCACGCACGCACACACACACACACACACACGCACCACACACACACACACACACACACACACACACACACACCACACACACACACACACACACACACACACACATATATATATATATATATATATATATATATATATATATATATATATATATATATATATATATATATATATATATATATATATATATATATATAATCGCCATAGGGTTTCAATCTAGGTTTATAAGCACCGATCTTAGCCACTAGACCGTAAACGGCGCCAGCGACTCGTCCACCTGACGTCCACCTGAAGTGTCCGACTCTGACACGCCGCGGAAGCCTGCTCGGCGGACAGGCGCCGGCTGCATCTAGTACAGCGATCGCGGTCGCACCACGCGGCGGACGAGCGGCAGCTGCCCCTGCACAGTGAGAACGGCCATACCACGCGGCGGACGAGCGCCGGCTACACCCGGAACACCGAGCACGATCCTACCACGCGGCGGACGTGCGCTGGCTCACCTGGTCACCGAAGAAGGTGGAGTTGCGTGAGTGGGAGCTCAGCCAACGCTGGTACAATGTCAGGTTGGAGGCCGTCGGTCGGATGAGGTAGAAGATCTTCTCGCCCTGCGGAGGACAGCGGCTCGGTCACCGGAGCCGACCAGCATTGCCAACTGACGACGTCAGAAACGATCAGACACACCGCCAGCAGCGCCCATCATTTGTCCCCTTAGTTCGACGATCACACGGAAGGACGTTCGGCGTTTCAGGCCCAAAGGGCTGTCGCCGTCACGGCCGTTCAAAACCGAGACCGTAGCAACAGCTCAAGATAGTTTGGTTGCCTTCCAACGCGTAGCAGGGCCCTTGCACACAAAAAAACAAAAACAAAACGTGCGGGACGTAACTCCCCGGTCAGGTCACTAATGTGTCCGCACCACGCCCCCTGGGCGAACGGACACCGCCGGAAGTCACACAAGACGCGAACCTGAAGGACGTGGTACCAGACGGACGTGCCGCCAAAGTCCACGTGGAAGTCTGTGTAAGAGTCGGCGGCGCTGATGAGCGCGTACTTGGTGACAGTGGGCTTCTCCACGCCCTCCGGCGACGGCGTCGGCCACAGCGTGGTCACCCAGCACAGCTTGCGCACGATGTAGGGCGCTTCGACCAGCGCTGACAGCCTGCCGGGCCGCCGCTCCTGTCAGCGCGCCGCCAACGACGCCGGCCGCGCCCGGCTCAACACAGTTCCCCCCGAGTCCGGTCAACGCCTTGCCAAGTGGCACATGTGACGGCAGTTACGGCTCACGTGGTAAAGGCAAAGATGGGTTCCAACACGACCACACTGGACAGTGACAACGCTGGTAAGTCGACGGAGCCCACAGAGCGATTTCAGGGTAATCGAAGGCGCCTCAACCATGGTGACCGGCGAGCACCACGCAGCCTGCGGTGCGGCACTCAATGGTGCTGTCCAGCTTTAGACATCCGCAGGCCCACCCTACCGGCCCAGAGGCACCCATTGGCGGCTATGGGCCGCCCCCTGGTCCGTCTGGGTCGCTCTCTCACCAATCCGCTCCACTTGATCGACCCCCTCTCTCACCTGTGCGGGGCGCCATCTGGCCACCCCAGCCACGCTTACTGACCCGGTGCGGGGCACCATCTCACCGCCCCAGCCTCACCCACTGACCCGTGCGGGGCACCATCTCACCGCCCCAGCCTCGCCCGCTGACCCGGTGCGGGGCGCCATCCGAACGCCCTAGCCTCACCCACTGACCCGTGCGGGGCACCATCTCACCACCCCAGCCTCGCCCGCTGACCCGGTGCGGGGCACCATCTCACCGCCCCAGCCTCGCCCGCTGACCCGGTGCGGGGCACCATCCGAACGCCCTAGCCTCACCCACTGACCCGTGCGGGGCACCATCTCACCGCCCCAGCCTCGCCCGCTGACCCGGTGCGGGGCACCATCCGAACGCCCTAGCCTCACCCACTGACCCGGTGCCGCTGAACTCGAGGCTGATGCAGTTGAGCGTCTCTGCACGCTGCCGGCTGCTGAAGTACTCGGCGAGGTCGTGCATGCTGATGTGTATGTCGCGCTGCCGGCTGACGTCGATCACGTCCACCTCGCGCTCCGAGCCTGCGTGGACGGCAGCTGCCGGTCAGCACAACCTCACCCCGCACCACAGCCCGTCAGCGCGGTCACATCCCGCACCGCAGCCGGTCAGCACGGTCACACCCCGCACCGCAACCCGTCAGCACGGTCACACCCCTGACCCCCCCCCGCCCCGCCCCGTCAGCACGGCCACACCCCGCACCGCAGTCGGAGCACCGTTCGTGCCGCGGCTGGGCGGCCGCCGCTGGTCGCTGACTCGGCGCTGGACTCGTTCAAGCAGCGTGACCCGTTGCTCACGCACATACGCGGCACTAGTCTAGCGCATGATCTGACCGCAGGTATGCTACGTCGACGCTAAGGTTCAGACTATCTACGGTGGAAGCTGAACCGTATCGTGTACGAATGTGTCCAGCAGCACGGCAGCTGGGGCTACATGTGGTTCTATCACCAGCGTCCCGTCACATCACCAACCCACAACACATGGCAGCCGCGGGCCCCCCGGCGGCCCACATCGCGGCGAAGGTGACCGTACGCACCCACGTAGTTCTCCACGTCGTGGACGGTGAAGGCGTTGGCGGGCGGCAGCTGCATGCCCAGCCCCTCCAGTGAGTCGAGCAAGATGGGCCGGTCCCAGCCGTGCTGGGCCAGGTACGGCAACGTCAACTGCTGACCGCGCAGTCGAACGATGACGTCATCAGCGCTGGGGCGGAGGGTCAGGCCAGATCAGTCGCACACCGACAACGGGCATATCGGGTCAGCGGTCAGCTGTACAAAGGATACGCACGCACGCACGCGCGCACACACACGCACAAACAAACACGCATTATGTGGACCCGCCCGCTCTTAAAATGCAGTCCTAGCAATCGAAATGAGATAACATTGCATTTTCAATCTGTGGTTTCGCACTTCTCGCATTGGGTCCCACAGCACGTAAATAAGCCTCGAACAAGCCTCGCATAACTTCAACAGTTGTGGCAGTCACGAACAAGATCATACAAACCAGTGTGCAACATTAAAATCAATTTTTAGGACGGTTTGGCAGCGCTCAAGGCACCTCACGCTCTTATCTGAAGCACCAAAAGACGAAAAGCACCCGGGGCCATCAGTGTATACCTTTCGAAGTGGCGGGAGCGGAGCTCTTTGATGAATATGGGAGTTCCAGTTTGAACCGGTTTTGCATCGGCGTTCAGCTCGTAGGGGTCATGCCGGTGCCAGTTCGTCCTTTGCTTGTCTGAGGTAAAAGGGTGACACTCGTGCTCAGATATCGGTTGGCATGGCATCAAAGTGGGCATCGTGTGAGATCTTTGAGCATATATCCTCTTTAATAAACGGAGTGTCCCATTTTTGGGCATACTTCAAAAACATGCTTTAAAAAATCGCAGGATGACCTACACCCAACAATAGCACTGGGCGGCGCAGTTGCAGCACCAATAATATATAACGAGAAAATGTATTTTCATTACTTTCTAGTCCAAATTATGCTGCCAAGGTTTGTTACAGCGATACACTTCGTCCTTTGTATTCCCAGAGTGGAGCGCCAGTCCGCGGCAGCTAACGACGGCACGGTCTGGCGAGGGCCGTCGTCAGCTGTCACGGACTGGTGGTACTACTTTTGAGCCGTTTTAATCCGCAAATCGCGGGCCTACGGGCTGCAAAAGAGAAATCTCTTCTGGTGTGAATAACGCCAGACAATTGAAAGTTTGTGATGGGCGCGGTGGGCGGCTTGCGTCATTTGCCCCAAAGCGCAATGGTTGAAGCTGGGACCAGTGCCTCACTATATAGACCATGTGGTACGTCCGTCTCCCGAAGTCAAAATGCACATCGAAAAGAGCCACTGTGCCAAATGCCATGGTAGATAAATCAAAACCACAGCGTGAAGTTTCGATGAATTCGTGATGATGACCTTGTACTTGTACGCATTCTCCCCAAAGTGTGCCATGCTTTCGGAGAATTCACTCATCAATCGTTCCGACCAGTTGTTGTGCTGCTAACATTATAAAATGCACACTTTGAGGAAAACCAACAAAAAAACTGTTTAGTGATGAGCACGAAGTCCTATAGAATTTTCCCGCCGGAGCGGCAAAATCTAATAGCAATTCTGGGCCATTCAGAAGGATTGCGGGAAAACTGGCACTACAGATCAAACAGAACGCGTCTGATCTAACAATAACTGAAAAGTACAGGCTGGCATGGTTCGCTTAATTATGGTGTTTCAGCTACTAAACCACACCGCAATCAAGCTTTAGCCGCGATGCGAAATCGCACGAACATACGGAGCTCGAGCAACCAAATTTTGACGCACAAAATTCAAAGGATGTTACAAGCACGACATTCTTCACACGGAATGTGCTAAATTTGTCTCCCTTGCCAACTGCTCCGAAATCGACAAGTACGACGCCACTTACAACATTGAACACCACAGACGCGCTTTTAACAACACGATCTGTAATATTCTTAAAAAGGAACACTCCGCACAAATCCCGAATGCCTTAGTCATGCAAAACAAAGTCAAGCGGAAAGGGCAGAAGCACTAGAAGCGCACACAGGAGCGGCTCTACTCGATGGACAGGCAAGCACAATGGCCGACGACGAACTGGCCAGCGCTTTGGGCCACCGGCAGCACGCCATCGCGGGCACTAGCCAGGCCCACATGCGGCGCCGCACCGACCCCACTGTCAAGTACGCCCACCCCTACCCGCAGCTGGAGAAGGAGTACACGCGCGAGCAATGCCACAAGCTGGAAGAGCTGTTCGGCGAGGCGGATACGGACAACGACGGCTTCATCACTCTCGACAAGCTGAAGAAGTTCTGCGAGAAGAAGATGGGCCGCCCCATCACGCACCTTGATGCCAAGAAGATAATCGCGCTCGGCGACGACGACAAGGACAAGAAGCTGAACCTGGACGAGTTTATGCGTCTGTGGCTGAAGGTGGCCGCCGGCCAGGCGCCGCCCGCCTCCGGCATGGATGCCGTCATGGACACCAACGACATCCGACCGGACATCTCCAAGAACCCCAACTTCACCGACAGCACGAACACGGCCGGCAGCATGAAGAACCGGTTTGAACAGCTGGCCATCTCGGACCAGCAGCAGCAGCAGCACGACGACGCGATTCGGGAGGAGCACCACAAGCTCCGTCAGCGACAGCGCGAGGAGGCCGCGGCCCAGAGGAAGCTGGACGAGCGACACCAGGCCATGAAGAAGAGGGGCGCACTCTTCGAACAAAAATAGATCCATGGCGTTGGCAGATGCCCATGTGGTCAAAGCAGAACAAACTCTGAATGACAGTGCATGTCAGTGGACCTCAGTCGAGAGCCTCGTAATTCAACTGGCATGCTATCTAGCACAATGTAATTACCCCCGAGGAACCAAATATTGCACGTGAAATTTCTAAAAGTGCCTACACTGCACACGCTTGTTGGTTGTTTGGTCAACCCTAAATAAAATAGCATGTGGACAGCCTTTTCCAACATTGAGAACATGTACCAAACAATCCTTTAAAATAAAGTGAACAGCACATGAACATGAAACACCAAACATGAACACCAAACAATCCTTTAAAATAAAGTGAACAGCACGCAGTCGGCTTTTTTGCTTTCGTCGTCCCCATTATAACATGCATTACACCAGAAGCATTACTGGACACTCATTATACCATCAACTTTTGTACTTTGTCGAACATATGCTGACAGCATACATCTCAGCACATCTGTGAATACAAATGCATAACTAGAAATGCACAAGCTGTGGGGCTACAGCAAACAAGACATGCACCCACATGCCACGGTAATGCGGTTCGAGAGAACAGTACTTACATATTGAGGGGCCGCACATGAGCTCACACCGTGGGCAGTGGTACTTGTCAATATCCACGCTTTGGTGTTCACGAAGACCAACGCATCTGCCCACAAGCCAGTCGAAAATGTTAGACAAGCAAGAAAACTGCCAGGTCATTCAGGCTGAGGGGGATCTGGAGTCTCCTACACATAAATCACGGAGAATGGCACAAAGCTTAGGACTACATGTCAGCTAATCTCAGGTTGTCTCTCTGCACCAATCATGCTGTCGCAATTAAGTGATCACACCAATGTTTCAGTACAAAAACCTTGATTATGGACACACTTACATTCCATGAAGCCAATCCTTGCAGATATCACACTGTATCATAAACTTGGAGTTGTCATATGGCTGACCGCAGGAGCACAGTGACTCGCCTGATGCCATTGTTTAGACCTAGGGGAGAAGATACAGTTAGAGAGGATAACCTACTCCTAGTGCGACCTGCAATGTGTGCAGGTTGTGTGCAGTACTGTGCAAGGACTAGTAGTAAAAGCACCAAGCTAGCCATTTGGTGGACATGGTCCCAGAAATCCACACCATCAGAAGGTTGGCCTGGATATTCAGGAAAAGAACACATTGTTTTGCTTTTAAGCCTAGTTTTAAAATGTTTAGGGACTATAATTTATGTTAAAACACTGCTGATGACATTCAAGGTGTTTGCATGACTGATCCTTGGGCAGCAACATTTCAGTGACATACTAGCAAGGCCATATTTTCAGCTGCCTTTAGCTTAGAAAAAGCCCCTTGACAAGAGGGTGCAAGGCCAGGCAACTCAGCCAACTCAAGAGGTCTGACATTTTACCACCTGGTGCTTAGGTCATATAACATAATACTGACTCTGAATTAGGAAACACTGACTTGTAGGGGAGAAAAAAATTAGATTGCATCCTAGATAGCTGATTTTTACAACCACAACCAGGCAGGACTCATGGCATTAAATCATCAGAGCAGAGACAACTTCTTGATGTGGCAAAGCACACTGCAGTGCATTCCATTTTTTGGAACACATTAACAAAAATATTTAAAAAATCATGAAAACATGCCTTCTGATCCCTACAACTGACATAGAAGACAGCCAATGTAACATACCATCTGTGAATCTGGGCAAACATGTTTAACTTCCTATATTGCACCTTAAATGTCAAACCATATTGCCTAAACTTTCATATTACTAACAGAATCCCCCTCTAACAAACCCTATTTGAGGCACGTGCATTCTGGCAGTTTGAGCAACATTGGCATGCCTCTCATGCAGCATGAGAAACAATTTCTGAATTTGGATCCAGATGAGGCTGGATGCCAATCTTGACTAGTCATCTACCATCTGCCCATCACACTTATGATCTGCCATCTGCCATCATGACCAACCTTTGCTCTTAAATAAAAATATGCTGCAGCTGGAACATCACATCTATGCCAAACAGATTATGAGTCACAAAAAAGTGAAAGGGATTAAGTGCTGTCAAAACCAATGCCACTATGCATGTCAAGCCACAGCAACACCAAACCAGACAAGGCACTGTTTGATGTTAGTGTGCCTGCAAAAATTTCAAGTGGTCTGCAGTTTTGCAACATAAAGCACCATTGAACTCTTGTAAACACAGATTAATCTTAAGCAATTTTGTGATACCTGACCAGTATTGCAAATGCGTCATCACTTTTCTATGATAGGACAAATGTGTGCAGTCAAAAGCCAAAGAAAAAAAAGGGATTTGACAGAGTGGCCTTCAGTATATTCTGGCCTTTCCTTGCAAATCAGGTATGGCACCTTCTCTTGTCCCAATATATCTGCAGAATTTCAGAATTCCTGCATGTTTTAAAAGCACAAATTAGATTTTACACACCATCACACTAAATGAGAAATGTTCTAAATACTGAGAAGAAAAATTGCAAATTACTTAGACCCCTGGCCCTGAATAAGGGAATGCACTGCATTCACAGTCTCACACCAGGGATCTCCTCCTCTGCTACCAAAGCAACAGAAACACTTCCCTGCCTGCCAACCCTATTTAGAAAAACTGTGACCAATCCAACATACGACACCCACTCCTCCCATACCAACACTATTTTGCCCCCCATCCATGTAACCAAGTCTGGTACACTCCAAGTGTGCGTTGCTTGCCTCCAGGCTTAACAACGGAATTACAGTCCTGGGATTCTATTGAAAACTGACTTATACAATAATCCAAAGGATATTATTTTCCAGAAGGCGCGTCAATAACATCGCACGTTTTCGCGCACCCCGAATAACCTGGTAACCTTTGCGACTGCCTCCAACACTGTGGTCTCTGATGTAAATAAATGCTGTCGTTGAATGCGGCGCAACCGCTCTAGGAGCAGGATCTAAAAAACCGATATGTGAAGCCGATACGCTCGTCCTCCGAAATGGCCCTTCCGATCCGCGTGTAACCCTCATCAATCGATTCAACGTAATCAGGTGATTCATGGGATGGTAATACTGAGACCTGACCTGGGATAGAACGCCTCAGAAACCCGAAGGTAAAATGTATTGTGCAAAAGCAGACAACTTAGATCTCAGAACAAACGAAACGATCGCTGTGAAACCATCACCATTGGATGTGTCATGCCCAATTCCCTCTCGCAGTTAAAACCCTAGACCCTAGATCATGTAAAAGTCATCAACATTCACGAACTCCGAGATTCTTGCTCACAAACAGATCAGTTTTAGACGTCACCCAACCGACTACTGCGAAACCTTGATGCCAAAACCACGATGAACATGAACATTACCGCGGCGCGGAGAGGTGCATCGTCGTGGGCGGTGAAGGGGTAGTTCAGTCATATCTACGTCTGCAGATTTTATGTGCCCGGCCGTGAGAGCAGGCTCGATGGGCCTAACCGAAACGGACTGGCTTGGTCAGTGTCTTGCTGTGACAGATGCACATGGGTGTAGGAACAGGGGGGGGGGGGCGGGGGGCATGGGGCCATGCCCTCCCCCACACTTTTCAAGGTGGAGGCGGCAGTGTTAACTGCCCCTCCCCCATTTTTCAGATTAAGGTTGTGTTTAGCTTACTTTTGCACTACATTAAACATACACGCCGTCTTACCTAAAACACCAGCCACCTTCATCAAGATGCGTCATCTTCGTTTGCTTATTAGCTGTCGCTCAGGGCCGCAGCCGTCGGACCGACGCCGCGCGGCCTATGGAGACTGCAGCGCCGGATGTCAAGGCTGTTGCTGCTATGACTTGCGAGCGCGCATGTTCAAAACCGTATTACATAGTTTTTATCAGTAATTAATTCTGACTGAATCTTGAACATTTTAGGACGAACATGGATTAGCCATGTTAGTACAAATTTGGCACCCCATTTAATCTACAATCTACGATCAGGGAGTCCCCAATATCTCTGAAGAACACATAAAAGATACGGAACTGGAGTCTATGTAGCAAGTATTGAGCCAGCTGCAGCAATCATGGATGGTGATGAAGGTTTCCGTGCTGTCATTGAAGGTTTCTGTGCTGATCTGGGGCCAACTGCGTTGCTCAGAAGGCCTCCCGTCTCAAGGAGGGGAACAATGTGATCTGATGCATCCTTTTAAGGGCCTTCGGATCGACCAGGAGATCCTGCCCCGTGTCACCAGAGTGACAGTCAGAAGACACTTCGCGATGGGACGGAATGGCCCTTTAGCCCTCGACCGGAAGCGGTTATGTGCCCCTGGTGTGCTACTCGAGGGGCCCCCTTGCACAGAACAAAACAAAGGGTCTCAATAACATTGTTTGAAAGAGTATGAATCTCATTACTGTTGAATAGAGGGTCGAAATGAGCACAAAAAGAACTACCAAGACCCTCTCATGTTTGCCCGAGAACGTTCATTTTTCCAAATGGATTAGTGAAACAAATTACATCTTCATGTTTGAACATGCCCGTCCGCAACCTCGAGAGCAAGGACGGCGATGGTCTGGGTTACAGTTTCCGTAAAACCGAACGGCGTCGGTACTGTGAGACCAGGCGGCGGGCGCCGTGTTAATCTCTCCTGGACAGATAGTTACAGAAACACACGAAATAGAGATTCTTCCTTTACTCTTTCAGTTCCACGACCAGATTCCAGCATCACTTCATGGTGCTTTAAGGTCCGATCCGTTCTGAGCATCAGTCTAAAAATCGCACGGGCAAAATACACGCCCAGACTGCCTACTAAATACACGGTGTGACATCCTAAAACGCTCAAAGGTCCAGCTGTTTAGCCGACGCTGCGCGGCCTACAGGGGCTGCAACGCCTGTCGGCGAGGTTTTTGACACAGGATCTGCGTTTGCGCATGCTCAAAACTACGTAACATAACTTGTCTCATTAATCGCTTAAAGTGTTTGAATGTAACTATATCAGAAGCATTATCATTTTCATCTACCGGTAGGCCACGACTATGAGTTAGCCACTGGGCTAACGCTCCGCGTATCATGGAGTCTGCAATGCGTGGTGCCCAGGTTTTTTGCTAAGATGTGCGAGCGCGCTTGTCAAAAAACTACGTTACATAAATTGTATCACTAATCGGTTCTGACTGAACGTTGAACATTTCCGGACAAAAGTGGTCTGGCCATGTTAATGCGCATTGTTGATCACCCGATCTACAAGCAAATTTTCATGTTCAAATTTCGACCAAGCATATTGATCTACAATCTACCTTCGCAATGGCTTTAATGTCTGGAACCAGGTTACAAATTCTAACAAAGCTTCGGAATTTTATTAGCTTAAAAAGAGACCAATAAACCTTTAAAAATTTTGAGTGCCGGTGATTTATTCCATGCAGCCGTTCAGCGCCTGATTTCTGCAGTTTATTAAATCTAAACTGCAAGCGGAATTGATTCCGCGGTAGCTTCTGGTTTCTGCTCTGGTTACAAGGTAAAATAACAATAAAATGACGAGAACCGTGTCCCTTGTTAACGAGCAAGCTATTTCGTGGATTTTTGGAGGAGGGGTCACGATATGAAGGCTTTTGTCAGGCCTGTGTTCTTCCCTTGGGAAGTTCTGATGCGTCCCTGCCTACACACAAAGCAAATCAAGTTGCCTGCATCGAATGATGGGCAATTGAATATCCGTGGACCAATTAATACCTAAGGTAGGCAGCTTCCCGGAGGCTTTTTCTGCGGCGGTATGATGTAAGGGAAGATAATTTAGGACACCGTTGCAGGTGTCCAGCATATGTTTTCCACACCCAATTAGTAATAACACTGATCCATTAAATATGCAACAAAGCAGCCATGCGATCAGTTCGCAGTCAGTCATGCGGGAGACAGTCGGGCCAGGGCAGTGGCCGCCGACGGCGGATGGGAGTAGGGCACAGATAAGGAATATATGACAGAATGACCTTTATTTCTGTGGCTTGGTTTTTAAATGATAAATTTCAGTTCCCTGATTGTTGTCACATTTTGGGGTCAGTTTCGGACTTTGAATTGGTTTCCGCCTAAAATGCTGCGACCACGTCTTATCTCGTGAAAAGGAGCCAGCGAAATGAAGGCGCATGACAAATCTGTCGCACTGTGAGCCATCATGAACTCCACGAGTGGGACAAGAGTTGAGACTCATGGGTTTTAACCTGAATGTTGCAAGTGTGCAGATCCATGCCTCCGTTGTTCAGGACTTATAAAGAAATACCTGTGTTTTTTATAAGAAATCCAATTTTCCTAGAGAGCACCGCCGTCAGTATTACCCAAGACTACGCGCTGAATAGCATACGTGTTAAGAAAGACTCCTTTGTCAAATTCCACCCGCTCTTTATTCGCAAGTTTCGCAGCAGAAAAGCAGCACGTAGGTCTTTCGTGTTCAAAAAGAGCACAACATTTTGCATGAAAGGTCTGCACGTTGACTACGCCACTGACTCAGACTTGCTATGCCCGGCAGAGAACTGGACGCGTGGCTGGCGGCCGCGGACGTGGCTGACCCGCTCATCCAAGCGCAGCGCCAGGTGCTCCGACAGCTCCAGCGCAGAGGTCGCTGTCCCAATCGTCGCCGCGATGCTGCTGCTGACCGCCAGCGTCGACCTATGCTTTCTCAGCCCTATCAGCAGTCTCCCAGAAGGCGGGAGATGAAGCCAACCAGCACCAGCTGGCGCTGTACTGCGGGCTCGGAGTGCTGCTGACGCTGCTGGCGCTGGCCGTGGCAGCGACGGCGCTGATTGACCGGCGGCGAGGGCTCGGCGTCTCTGGGACTTCACCCGAACCCCTCCCGCTCCACACAACATGAGTTGTCAGCCAGAGTCCGGGGCTAGGCCGCGACAGACTGCGGGAGCGCACAGGTGGCGCCAACGACGCGGCACTGGAGGGCGTCGCTGGAGAACGCCAACGTCGAAGTGACCCAATGTATGTCACCGTCGACGCGGCACCGGAGGACGTCTTGTATGCCGTGGTCATGACGGGCTGCCTGACGTCGCCTGCCCCCGGCACCTCGTGCACGGAACATGGCGGCGGGGGCCCCGAAGACGCGTGTGGTGCGGCTTCGGCGGGGCACTGAGAGGACGGGCTGTTGGGGGTGAACTTGGTAGACAACGCGCTAAACGGTGGTAATCTTGGGGAACAACAAACTGAGCGTTTCAAGTTCCGCACCCGCATCTGCTAAAATTGCCGCTCCTGACGGGCCCGCCAGCACTGAGTGATACGCCTGGTCGGGTGTGACCAAAAACAGATTGAAACCAAATCTGATGAATGTGTTGTGCCGGCCGCTGATAGTCCTATATCAATCCTGTCGAATGTGTAGTCACAATCTTCTTTCAGCTCGATTAAGCTATTTTTTCCGGGGCCACCGTATTATGGCCATTTCTCTCATGTACAGCCACGCAGCCGTAAGCTCTGCGCTGTAGAGTAATCATTTCAACAAAAAGGTCATGTGCAGAGATTTAACTTGTGACACCAGCTGGGTTTATTTTATATGTTTTATACGTGAACTGAATCTTGGCTGAAAAATCCGTGAAAAACATGATATTAGGGGCATTGCGAAAGTACTGCGTCACCCTGGCTGTACCTCAGCCCTGATATAGTACAGTTGTGGAAGGTTTCTGTCACAGGTTAGAGATTTCCTGATGTTTACTGCACCCTGATGTTATTATGCTTGGAGGCATTTTGTGGCCCAACTTGTTCATTCAGCGGAACGTCAATGCTGCCACAAGTGCTCTACACAAGTTCACGCTGCAAGCGTGAACGAGTACAGACCAGTTCTAGGATTTGAGTTCCGTCTATCTGGGATGGTCTGCTATAATTTGTTTCCATTTTCACAATTTTTACCAGTATCTCGCAAAAGAGTTCATTTTTATCACCGATCAT